ATGTAGCATGTTGTATTAATAATATTGATATATAAAATATTAATGTTCATAACATAAGGGTAATTTTCTCAACATGAAAATATTTATGTTCTATTCCATAATATTTTTAAAATTACAACCAAACAAATGAATAAAGTTTATTTTCCATTTCATTACCGTTACTATTATCATTCTTATTACTATTACCATTCTTTCACTACAACGAAACACACTCAGATATTAAAAAATAATTTTTTAAAAAATCAAAATACAAATTTAAAATTATTAAAAAACATGAAAATATTTATGTTCTATTCCATAATATTTTTAAAATTACAACCAAACAAATGAATAAAGTTTATTTTCCATTTCATTACCGTTACTATTATCATTCTTATTACTATTACCATTCTTTCACTACAACGAAACACACTCAGATATTAAAAAATAATTTTTTAAAAAATCAAAATACAAATTTAAAATTATTAAAAATACAAAATATTAAAAGATGATTATAATAAAACATAAAGTACCCATACGAAATTTTCCTATATAAAAGTGCAAAGATGGGGATTGTACTAATAATTTTTAAATCAAATTATACTATGCCACGTCACCTATTGACCTAACCGTTGGATCGATTGATTGCTTTCTTAACCTTTGGTTGTTTTTTTTTTCCCTCCAATTTCTGCAACTAAAACCACCTTCTCCATCAAGAATTTAAAGATCAATCCTTTCACCTCCACTGCACTATATAAACCCCTCTCTATCACCCCTTCTCATAAACTCTCTATTTACATAAAACGCAGAGAGAGAAACAAATACATTATAGAGAGAGAGAGGGAAAAAGAAAAGACACAGAAAAGAAAAGAAGCTCTGGCAAAAATGGCAGATCATCATGATCAACAGCTCGTTCAGAAACGAGACGTGATACAGAAAAACCCTCTCGAAGCTCGTCCAGAATACTCGACAGAGCTCCCGGACTTGTCGGTCCTCCGCCTGGGCTCTCCATGCGCCAAAAGCGGCTTCTCCGGCGCCGGCAATGGAAATTCCAACAAACGGCAAAGGCCGTTCTCCATCAACTACCAACAACCCGTACCCAAGAAGCTTTTTCTTGACGACTCTGCCACCACCACCGCTTACCCTCTCCTCCGCCGCTGCGTCCCCTACCCCTTCCACCTTCCTTCTCCGGCTCAACCCCCTCCGGAATCCTCTCCGGCCGTGGCCTCGGGTGTTTCGTCGAACGCCTCGCCCAAGTCCGCGCGGAATCCCGAATCCGCCACACCCTGCTCGGCCAAAGGCTCTGTGCCGCCTACAGGCAGCAATGCTCTGCCTCCTCGGCCGCCGCCGCTCCGGCGCTGCTGTAACTCCCCGGAAAACAGTTCAAAGGTAAGTAAACGTGATTTCTTCTCTTTCGTTTTTCTTTTGTTTGGTTTGTATAATATCTGAAATTAATAATATTTTCGTGGTTTAATTTTTTATGTTTCCGCCTCCGGGCTAGTTTCTTGGTTTAATCTAATTTTCTTGTCATTTTTTTCATTTTATTATTTTTTTCCTCATTTATCCTTCTTTTGTTTGATTATTAAACTTGTTAAAATGGTTAATCTCTGAAATGAAGGCCACTCTCTTGGATTAATTTATGTTTCCCGATCTGGCTTCTTTATTTATTCATGTTCATATTAATATTATCTTCTTGGCCATTACTTGGGTAGTTCTTGATTCTCATTTGCATCGAATATGAAAAATGATTAAAACCGTTAATCTATGAAATTAATGCCACTTTCTTGGTTTAGTTTATGTTTCAACATTATCTGGGCTACTTTCTTTTCATTGCTGTTATCATCATTTTTATAAATTTTTTTCCGTCTCTAATGCGATGTTTCATTCGAGGAAGCTCATTTTCGTTCTTTTTATTCTTGTCCATTACACGGTTTGTTCTTTATTTTTCTTATTTTCATCAGAATATGATGTATATATCGTTGCTTTATTTTTTTACATAAATGGGGTTTTTTTTTTTTTTTTTTTTGGTGCAGAAGTTGAAAAAGATAATCCAATGTTGGACGGAGATGAAAATGTTGATAAAAGAGTTCATTGGGGTTGACCAAACTGAAGGAGGAGTTGTTGAAGAAGGAAAAGAAGAGCTTGATATCAACACCGATAAGGTCTGCTTCTAGATTCTCAAAAGTTTCTCTTTTTTTCTTTATTTAATATTTCCATGACGCCATTTTTAATTTGATGCTATTTTTGCACGGTTCTGAAAGAGAAATGGAGGAGACACTAAGTGTGGAGAGAGACGGAAAGTATTTAAACATGAATTTAAAGTGTCACTGTGGAAAGGAATATCATTTCCTTCTTATTGATGGATGTTTCTTCGACAAGCTTATGTAGATTCATATTTCTGCAAACTGTTAATGAATGATTGCAAAACTCCCCTTTTTGGAAGTTTTTCTATGGGTATCTTACAGAATTAACTTCTCTTTTCATAATTTTTCTTTTTCTTTTTGTGCATAATTTTCTGTTTAAGTTTCTTGTTCCGTTTGTAGTGTTATCATATCGTTTTTTCTAAGAAATGTTGTAGTTTGTAGATGATGCTGTCATTTTTTATGACGACACAATCCGATTTATTAAAACAAAAATTCGATAAACAATTTTACCGTAATGAACTTAATTCATAAAGAATTTCTGATATATTTAGGAGAAAGTATGTATCAAGTGCTGCTTTTTTTTTTCCTTGAAAGTGATATGAACTTGTTTAGATAAAATACATAGAATATAGGATAGTTCATAAAGCAAAATATTTAATTTTTTCATAAAGCAAAGTGTTCCAAAAAAAAAATGGGATTATTATTATGGTTTATCGTTTAATTTTGGTTTATTGTTTTGATTTTATTTTGGGTTTATCATTATCATCTAACTTTTTAATTAGTTCTAGTTCTATTATGATAATTAATCTTAATAACTCTCATGTAATCTTTCCATCCACAAGTTCATCTCCTTCCAACAATTCCTTGTGGGGTTTTTTTTGGTGCAGAAGCTAATAATGATAAAGACTTGTTGGAAGAGATAAAGATGTGAATTGAAAAAGAAGAAGAAGCTGAATGAGAAAAAGGAGGAATCACGTAAAATTGACTAAGATATCAACGCTATCAAGTTTTTTTTTATTTTTTTATGAAAATTAAAGACATTTATTGAAAAGATTACTTTAAAAAAGCCAGTTTTGCATTTATATAGAATATCCTACAGTGTAAAACAGTCTTTACAAACTCTATAACTTCTATTAAGTATTATTGATTCACATGATCTTGTTAGTATTTTATAAATTGATAATTTTACCGATATGAACTTAATTCATATCATAGTTTAGGAGGGCTTTTTAAAATATGTATCAAGTGTTGCTTGTTTTTCTTGAAAGTGATATTACTTGTTTAGATAAAAGTACATAGAATGTGATAATTCGTAAAGCAAAATATTTAATTAGCTTAATTATAATAGGATATTAGATAAATGTTTTAGAAAAATAAAGAAAATCTTCATATCAATTAAATTGATATTATTTATTAATAGATTTTTCTTAGTCCCATTGGTATTAATTATGAGATTTAGTAAAATAATGGGATCTATTTATGCTGGTTTGAAGTTACCGCGATATCCCTATAACAGATTACAGAACCGCCGCACTATTCGATGGTTCGACCGATGAGAATCGGTGTTGATATAGTACTATCTCGTTAGTCAATCTTTTTAGAAGTGATCGATTTGCTGGTTAAATTGAACAATTCTAATTTAATAAACTTGTTACTCGGTAAACGCAAATAAACAATAATAAATCGTTAATAAACTTATAACATATGATCCTTAATCAATAATTCAAGAGACAACTTACGCTTGCAAAAAATTTATAGCATAACTTAAAAACTAACTTGGCTCTTAACGCTTATGTCTGATAAACAAATAACCAATGTTTCGAGGTTTATTTGTGCTCAAGAAATAATTTGCTAAGCACAACTTGAGAGTCTGGACTTGGATGTGCATAAACTTGGGGACTGGAAAAATCGAACATCATAAAATAAAATAAAGATAACCAACAGAATATCAATCCTGCATAAAAAAGAAATACAAAATCCGAATATTGTCCAGAACCAGCAGAATTTACAGAGTTTTGGAAATGAATTAAGTACCATTATGTTCTACCGCCAACATATACAAACTCATGAAATCCCGTTTGACAAAAATAATAGATCGATACCATGTTTTGGACAATGATAAGTATGAAACTAAAGGATATGTAAACCAATATTATGGTTACCCTTTTTCCCTTCTTATGGCTAATACTACAAAGTACAGACAACCTTTTTTCTTCATCAGCTTGGGGGTTACAACACTGCAAGGGGACGACGGCCTGTAAATTTTTTTTGGCTTGTTTCCCACTGAGGTAGCTGAAATCTTCATAGATAACTTACAAGACAGTAGCAGAAGCGACCCGAAAATATTATGGCCATCCTTTTTCGCCTTACGTCTACTTGTATAAACAGCCGATGCAGTCCCCGTAGAGCAAAGATAATGAATGGATAAATATTTTCTGCCTGATTTACAGACCTTGCCCGGATGTACATGCTTGATTTTACTTTACACTATCATATTTTTCAGCTTTTTCAGAGACCCCCTTCTCCTCTGTCCCCGTTTTCTTCCTGGCTTGAAACAGCGATTAGCTGCTGTTGCAACTGCTTAGAAATAACCAATTTATCAATGAAAAGTACGTGTAATCAGTGTGTAGAAAAATCGTTTCCCCTTTCCCTCTCACGGTTGGGTTGAATAACATTTTTAAGTTTAAAGAACTAACAAAACGTGTAATGAGAGCTTTCTTGAGCAAACTCACTTGTATGTATTTCAACTTTTCAGCAGTCGGTTCATCTGTCAAACAGTTCATACTGCAACATTGAATAAGACCATAAGAATTGATTTCAATATGCACAAAGTAGTATCTCAAGTATTTAAATTGATTCGGTTCTCACGAACCTAGCTTAAAGCTCTGAGATCTTCATGAGGAGTAAACGTTCCCTCTCCGAAGCTGCTGTTTCAGCCTGTTAATAAAATAGACAATAAGGGAACTGAGTGCACAGAAATGAGTGTTTC